TCAAGATAGCTCAGTAAAAAGGGATTCGATTTACAGGTACAAGCAAAACTCATCGAATCCAGGAAGAGGAATTAAAACTCCACCAGTTCCCTGGTGTGCAAAGTCATAAGAGAGGAAGGCCCTTCACTCTGTGTCCCTGTAGCTGAGGGGCTCTCAGCTGTCTATTCTCTATTTTTCTCTACTCATCATTCTCTCTGATGGGCAGACTGGTTTCTTCTGATTACTCACCTGTTTGTACCTGGCTCCCCAAATGGCCACTCCAGCTGCCAAGCCTATTTGAGCATCGCCATTGCCTGGTATCATCTTTGTGTCTGTTGGTTCACATTCTCAAAAAAGAGATATTTGTTTGCACAGTTTATCTGTTCAAGCCAAGCCACAACAGGTCATAGGCTATTGGCCAGGTGATGGATTGTGCCTCCAATCAGATCATCTATCCTTGGGTCAATCATGGGAGGCTAGGGGAACAGGGCTATGTCTTACATAAGGATGTGAGCATGACTGATGTTACGAACATGTTCTACTATAGAAAGCAATATTATTAAATAATGCGGACTATATACACCCACAACAATCATCACAAATGTCCACTAGGAAAAACAATACAGGATAGAATAGTGAATTGGAGAATAATGAAGGTTATTCATAGAAAGATTCCTGGAGAGGATGGAGCAAAAGAAGGTCCATGCAGAAAAGGTCAGGAAGGAATTTGTGCCAACCTGATAGAACAGTTGTGTCCAGGATCCATAAGGAAATGGGGCCAAACATGTTAGGACTTCTAATAGGACACAGGATGCATAGAACTTCTGTAATTCTTACAATATTCAGTGTGGAAAAGACTTAGAGATCATCAATGAAGCCCTGTCACACTTCAGATGAGAGCACTGAGGTTCAGAGTGTCTTGTGACACAGCTGTGGCCACAGATTTCAAATGAGAACCAAGGCCAGAGTCTGAGTCCTTGTTTCCAAGCTCAGCCTTCTTTCCACTATGGACTATGCAGGATTCCCTAGCTAACTCTCTCTCTTGCTAAGGCAGCTCCTCTGTTTCTAATACCAAGGCTTTCTAAAATAGGCACATGGTGGCAAAGAGGAAGCCCTTCCTCAGTGCTCTTTGTTGGAGGACAATCTACTTCTCAGCACCATCCTCATCCTCTTTTCTAAAACTCCTTGAACCCTGACCCTCACACCCCTGAGCACCCCCAGCACTGTGTCATTCCTCAGAGTGTATACAAAGGGGTTGAGGAATGGAGTCACCACACTGCTTAGCACTGAAGGGATCTTGTTGATCTCCAGATATTCTTTCTGGGAGGGAGTCACATAGATGAACACAGTGATGCCGCTAGAAATGATGACAATGGTCAGGTGGGAAGCACAGGTGTTAAAGGCCTTCTTCCTTCCACTTGCAGAAGGGATGCGCACTATTGTCAAGATGATGTATGTGTAGGAATAGGCCACAAGGACTATGCAGCAGAGGATGACCACAGATGAAAGCATAAAATCCATCAGCTCAATGGCAGTGGTGTCTGCACAGGCCAGGGCCAGCAAGGGCCCACTGTCACAGAAGTAGTGGTTAATGACATTGGAGCCACAGAAGGGCAGCCGAGAGATGAGGATGGTTGGAAAGAGCACAGAGAGGAAGCCTCCTGCCCAAGAGAACACAACGGTCCCGATGCAGACAGGAGGTCTCATGATGGCAGTGTAGCGCAGTGGGTAGCAGATGGCGGCATAGCGATCATAGGACATGACTGTTAGCAGGAGAAACTCAACTGTGCCCAGGAAGAAGTAGAAATAGCACTGGGTGATACACCCGGCAAAGGAGATGGTTTTATCCCCTGATCCTAAGTTGGCCAACACTTTGGGAGAAATGACTGAGGTGAAGAGGATGTCCAGGACAGAGAGGTTGCAGAGGAAGAAGTACATGGGGGTGTGGAGGCGGGAGTAGGACAGCATGATGGAGATGATGAGCAGGTTCCCCAGCAGAGTCAGCAGGAATGTGGGCAGCAGGAGCACCAGGAGCAGCAACTCCACCTCCCTGCTGAGGGCAAATCCCAGCAAGATAAACTCCGTCACCGTTGCAGTCCGATTCCCCATGAGCCTGGTGGGCTGACTCAGTTCCTCTAATGGAACAGAGGGAGACAATGCTTAGGAGAGCACTCAGTGTCCAAAACCCCATGGCTGTTCACCAGAAAAATAGGAACATAGAGCATGAAATAAAAATATGACAATATTTCATGGGCAAGTACTCGCTAAGAAAAAAAAAAAAAAGAAAGTAAAGTAAGAATTAAGATTTTAAAAATTATTTAAAAAAAAAAAAGAAAAAGAAATATGACAATAACAAGGGTTGAGAGGATGTGGATCCCCAGATTCTTTTACATTGCTAGTGGGAGTATAACTTTATGCAATTGCTTGGGAAAATAATTTGTCATTACCTTGTAAAGGTGAGCATTCATATGCTCTGTGACCTAATAATTCTACTCCTAGGTAGAGGAACTTGCACATCTGTCCCAGAAGACAAAAAAGAATGTTCACATGAGGGAGGAAGCAAGGAACAGAGGGAGGGAGGAGGAAAAAATGGGGTTGAGTCCAAAGACAGATGAACAAATAGTGATATGATCATAGAATGGAATATTATACAATCACGAAATGAACTACAGCTAAACCAGTAGTGAGGATGAATCTTCAAAATGTTACTAGAAAAGGCAATCCCAAAGGACCACACACAGCAAGAATTTTAAAATTTAAGCTTAAAAACAAACAAAACTAAATAATATATTGTTTAGGCATTGCAAACATCAACTAAATTATTATTTTTAAAGGGAAGGTAATGACAAAAACAAAATTCAGAACAGGGCAACCTCTGGGATAGCAAGACAGAGGATGGACCAAGGGAGGAACCCATCTCAGTTGGATTTGGGTGGTGGGCTCCATGGTGTCCAACATATTATTAAGCTTTATACTTTAGATAAATGTTACATACATTTTTTTGGTATATGTCAAAATTTATACTTAAAAAGATAACAAAAATATAAACATATCTGTATGTAAAGAAGATTGAAAAGATTGAAAGGGAATATGCCAAATTCTTTTTTTTTTTTTTGAGACAGAGTCTCGCTCTATTGCTGGGGCTAAAGTACCATGGCATCAGCCTAGCTCACAGCAACCTCAAACTCCTGGGCTCAAGTGATCCTTCTGCCTCAGCCTCCCAAGTAGCTGGGACTACAGGCATGCACCACCATGCCATCTAATTTTTCTATATATATATTTTTTAGTTGGCCAATGAATTTCTTTCTATTTTTAGTAGAGATGAGTCTCATTCTTGCTCAGGCTGGTCTCAAACTCCCGAGTTCAAACAATCTGCCCTCCTCGGCCTCCCAGAGTGCTAGGATTACAGGCGTGAGCCACCACACCCAGCTTTCAAACTCTTTTTTTTTTTTTTTTGTGAGACAGAGTCTCACTTTGTTGCCCAGGCTAGAGTGAGTGCCGTGGCGTCAGCCTAGCTCACAGCAACCTCAAACTCCTGGGCTCAAGCAATCCTCCTGCCTCAGCCTCCCAAGTAGCTGGGACTACAGACATTCGCCACCATGCCCGGCTAATTTTTTGTATATATATTAGTTGGCCAATTAATTGCTTTCTATTTATATTAGAGACGGGGTCTTGCTCTTGCTCAGGCTGGTTTCAAACTCCTGACCTTGAGCAATCCGCCCGCCTCGGCCTCCCAGAGAGCTAGGATTACAGGCGTGAGCCACCGCGCCCGGCCTCAAACTCTTAATAGTCATCATTATTTGATGGTAGGACTCCAGGGAATCTTTATTTTCTTCTTGACTGCCTATATTTTCTGGAATTTTTACAATGAACAAATGTTCCTTTTCTATAAAAGAAATTAGAATTATCCTAAAAGGAAAAAAATATATAATATATATATATATATACTATATATATATATACTACATGGTTTGATTGCAGTATGTGGGATGAGAGGACATGCATGCTAGCAAGCACATACTGAGTGCCAACTCTGTGGCAGGGTCTGCAGTTGATGCAAGTCTGTGGAGATGGTAAAATGGTGCCTGCCCTGGAACAGCTCTCGGTCTTTTTTTTTTTTTTTTTTTTTATTTTCTCTTCCTTTATCCATCTCTTGAAGACAGCTCTCGGTCTTAAAGAGATATAAAGAAACGTGATTTCAGGAAAATCACAGAAATAGAGGGAAAATCAAGGGACAGAAAAGTTCTTTCCTAGGATATTTGTCCTGGGCCATTAGTCTGGAAAGCAAACCAAATGCCAGGGAAATGGATAGATTCCAGGGACGAGGTCCAATGCGCTCAGATAGCAAGGAGGGGTTGGCCTGGACTCTGGAAAGAAGGGGCCATGTGCTTACTAGTGACTAAGAGGTCTGTGGATTAGACGAGGTAAAACAGAAGAATAAGCTATTAAAGGAAAAGGATTGCAAAAACCCTAAGGACTGAGTTAATCTCTGCCCATCTCAGCTGAGTCAGAATTCTGTATCGGTCACTCCTGTGCACAGCATGTCCCCTTGACCTGCCCTCACCTTTGTGTAGTCACGGTACATGGACAGTCTGTCCAACCACTCACTGCATCTGTATTGCCAAGCTTTTCCTTTTCGGGTTTATTGAGACATGATTCAAATGCCATACAGCCAACACATTTAAAGTGTACAGTTCAATAGCTTTTAGTGTATTCAGAGTTGTCATCTGTCACCTCAGTCAGTTTAAGAACGTTTCATCATCCAATCCCTGGCAACTCTTAATCTACTTTCTGGGTCTATGGATTTGCCTATTCTGGACATTTCCTATAAATGGATCATACAATATGTGGCCCTTTGTGTCTAGCTTCTTTCGCTTCCTATAATATTTCCAAAGTCCATCCATGTTGTAGCATGGACCATTGCCAAGGCCATTGAAGAAGGAATGCAGCAGGAGGAAAGGCTACGGCCTCGGGGAGAAGCCTGACCCCTGGCGTGGCAGAAACACGTGTGCTTGTACACAAACACATGGCAATTACTAAGAGCAGACATATGGAGAGTCTGTGAAATCTAGAAGAATCACATAAAGAAAGAACTTGGGCCCAGTCACCAAATCTGAAAAACGGTATCATGAGGGAGGAAGACTTAACTCATTTAACTCTCCAAATACATCTTTTCTGGAGTTGCCACTGCACCCAGTGGAAAATCACCCCCTTCCATCAGAAATACCAAGAAGTTTCATGAAGGCAAATATACATGCCTTAGATTATAACAGAGGCTGCTGTTCTCCAGACAGCCCCAGATGTTGAGTGGTTGCTCTGCACCCATCTCAGCTGGGATCCCCTTACTCTACCTCTACAGTGCAGGTCTGCTCGCCTGGGCTTTGCTGCCACCTAGAATCTTCCACAGTAATCATCTCAATCAAAAAGCCACAGTGAGCTCCACAGGAGACCACCAGTGTTTGACAGGTGGAATGAACCCTTCCCAACTCATCTGGATTTTTGGTCTAGCTGTGACCTCTTGCCTGGTGAGCATGCACGTGTTACTGTTGGATGCTTTATGCTGCTCAGGAAGTTACAGAATATGACACCCATTCCAGCACCAAGAGGTCTGCACATCCTCTGGCCCTAACCCCGAGTAGATGGGGAAGTAGACTTCAGTTTAGCAGAGCTATCCACTCACCAGCTGGGTCCTCCCATACTGTCTACACAGTCTGGCCCAGCTGGGGAGAGAGAGGGCAGACTCTTCACTAAGCTGCTGGACAGTGCTTTGTTCCCTTCTCCTGCTACCATCTTCCCTGTCCCTTCTCTAGTCCCCTGCTCAACCCAGTTGTGATTGTCTCTTGATTCCAGGGCAAATGGGAAAAGGAACACTGTGCTCACCTAATGGGCAACAACTCTCATCCTGCTTCTCTCATTTATCCCTTGTCTGTCCCCTCAATCCAACATAAACCACCACCCTTATCATATTTTTTCAGAGACTGTCAGGCCAAGCGTCCAAGGACTAAACTTCCTCTAGGGTTACTGCAGGACAGTAGAATCCTGTCAAGGGGCAGTACAGCTGGTGCAAAGAGGCAACTCTGGCCTTGGGGCCAAAAGACCTCAGTTCCAGTCCCACCTCTGCCTTTACCACCCTCGAGACTGGACAAATTGCCTCACCTTTCTGCACATCTGACATGAATCCTCACATGACAAGCAGGGATCATGCTCTTTTCCTCATCTTTCTCACAGCCTGGTAGAGAAACACAAAATGGAAAATAAGACAAATCATATGAAATTACCATATCAGAGTTGCCATTATTTCTAGAAACTCTGCTATTCTGCAATTTTGGCAAAGAACAAATCTTATCTTCCCTGTCCTACAGAGATATTGATCATCCCACCCTAAGAGCACTGTTGCTTCTGGCTCTGGCATACATCTTGTCAAGCCACAGTTCTGCCTTAATCAATAGTTCTCTTCTTGGACGGCATAGCCGCTAGGCTACAAAGTGTGGAGACAAAGGGAAGATGCTTCTCTATATGGGAATTTCGCTTGCTCAAGACTTCTGGAAATGCAAAAACCATCCCCTGTCCTCCACCCTCTGCACTCTACAGAGGGGTCAGTAAGCTTCAGGGGAGGGGGGGCACAGGGGGCACAGGGGGCACAGGGCACAGAAACACTCACATTAGCCTAAATGAGGCAGACAGGGCCGGCCCCGCATATCCTGCCCGCAGGGCACCACGGGCTTGAGCGCTGTCGCACAGGGACTTCTGCTGCTGCAGACAGACTACACTGTCAGGGCTGCAGGGAGCAATACTATAGAAGAGTCCCATGTTTGGGTTCCACATTTGGACTCCACTGGGATGGGGCAGTTGCGGGATTGGCTCAGGTGAGAGCACACACTTTCACAGAAGGATCCAATCATGGGACGAGTCCTCGGGGGTACAATTTACAGAGCTATCCCTGAACACCAAGCCTGAGCCCGATGCCCCTGAGGCCCACTTAGGAAAGGATGCAAACCAAACATGTCTACACTAGCACTAGCAGGAAATGGAGCCAAGAACACTAGCCAAGATCAACACCAGCAGATGTGTCTCAGGGAGTCTCTCAGTGTAGTCCTCCGTCCACCCCTCTCCAGAACCACTGTGACAATTCTGTCCATGCCTGCCACTCCGTGCTACCTAGGACCCTCCTCTCCAACATCCCTAAAGTACTGCCAAAGCTCCAGTGATCTTGCACCATCCAAAAGAAAAAACCCCAAACTGTTTAT